TCCGAGTTTTCAATGAGACATCTACTTCTCTCTCTTATCGTCTTGCCCACATTATCTGAAACTTCTTTAGTACTTCGCGTCAATGCTTCTTTGCCGAACGTCTTTATGTGAAAGTTTATGCGCCGAAGTATGGGATGTTCGGAAGAATTGGGATTCTGTGCTTGCGAAATCTTGAGCTTTGTAGTATTTTCAGGCAGTTGAGGTTCGCTGACTACCCATAAGTGTTTTACAATCACATAAGTGAAGTATAATGCTTCTCGTGCTCAAAGTAGTTATACCCTCGTTGCAACGTTTACATTTTTACATGTAAAAATCCACCTTTCAGTACCTAGTTCAAGTATTATTGCTTACGCTTTCTTAATAACCTTTTCCCCAACATCCTTTCTCCGTTCTGCTTGTTTTTTCGAGGCCTGAAGGGGAACTCCGACATCGTCTCTAGTTTGGGTAGTTTTCAGTACATGGTTCTATTCCCTTTCCTCTTTTTTTTCAATTTTTTACCCCCTTTCCAGTCATTGTGTCCTGGGGTTTCCATATCTTCTAGACCTCATCTGTTAGAATGCATATTGGCTGTTTTCAACAGCGGGGTTCACAGTAAATCATTGATTGTTGAGAACAGTCTTGTAATAAGTCTTTTGAAAGCTTCTCGAAGCGAAAGGAAATGCCTGCAACTTAATAGTAGTTTTACCAGAAAGAATGTTACCAATATACAGGAATTGTCTGCTTGTCTATTCTTTTTGCCACGGAATCAGAAGTGTTTATTGTTATTATTATTAGTATTTATTATAATTTGATATATTATTGTTATAATTACTAGTATTGTTTATTGTAATGTAGTATTAAGTAATGTAATCCGTCTAGGAGTGCCTTAATAATAAGTGAGATGTACGTCTCTTCTCTGTGATTACAGTTTTCTGAACGCAAAAAGTCGATCTTTTTCTATCTGTTTCATTTTTTGAGACCATATTCGTGAAACCCCCCTTCCCCCCCCCCCCCCCCCCCCCTCACATATATTTCTCACGCGAACTTTGCGGCTAGATTTTACTTCACCCAGAATTCGGATTTTTTTTTGTTCCCGTTAGAACTAGTTTTCGGTTCTCTGTGGTTGCAACTATTCTTCTTCATATTTGTTGTTATGTGTCTATAATGAGTTTTCACGAATTACTAACTCCCTTACACCGTCATTCTGTTTTTCTTTATGTCATCCAGTTTGCATCGGGTACTTGAGCCATGCTAGTCTATTGTTTAACCCATCTAACTATGCTTGGAATGTTGTCCGTTCTATGTATTCAATTTTAATGAATCTCACATTTGCAGTGATTCCCTGGGAATTTCTCTTATTTTATCCTTTATCTCACAATACTCGATTCTACATGCTTCTTTACCATTTGTCCTTCTGATTATTCTTTGCACTACATCATGTAACGAGTTATTGATCAATGTATCCACTCTTTATTATTTCCATCACCACAGAAGCTAATCTCTGAAGAGGGTAGAATACGTCAAAGTGAAATGAGTTTGGGTAACACGTTTCAGTATTTCCTCAAACCTACGCTTCCTCTTTTTTCCTTACAGACCCATGAACGTGGGTCTATGCTGTTCACCTCCATCGCTGCGACGATTCTTCTAAAAGGGAGAAATTCTTGGTTCGGTCTGAAATGTGCCACTGGAAATAATGTCAGATCGGCTAGTGCAATGCAATAATTGCAATTGCAGGAAAATGCAGAACGGCTATTTTTAGCTTATCGAATTAGTGCCCTTTTTGTTGAAGGGGTGTGATGTAAACGGTCTTGGCCACGCTTTAGTTTGTATTTTGAAAAATAGGTATCTGACAGCGATTCTTAGCCTGAAGTCATTGAATAAAAAGAAGTATCTTCAGATGGAGAAATAGTTTTCAGTTCCTGGTCATTGGTGGTATGGGTGAACCAGCACACAGCACTTCTGTTATTTGCGTTTACGGAGAAAAAAAAAATAGTTTTCTGGCTATTCTGCTGTGGCAAAGATAAAGAGAGGGAATTCCCACACTTCAATTTATGTCGCTCAATCGCTGTACAATGAGTGCTAAATTATTTGTGAAATAAGATAGATTCCTTGGATTAGACTTACTGTTCTGCCACAACTTCTAATCAAACATTAATTGTTTTTTAATGTGATGCTCACGATCCAGGCGTATTATTCTTTTTTCTTTTTTTGGTTCTTTTTGTGACATGAGTTTGCGGCAAACGTGCAGGACCCTTGGTGAATTGAGGCACTTTCGATTTTTGATTTGGGCGTAGATAAGCGGAAATGCTATGAGCCAAACCACAATCAACCTGAACATTGGGTCACGCATAATCGTCTGCGCCCCAACCCCAACGAATTCCTCCTTATCATCAGTCAGTACCGGGATTATGAACGACGTTCGTGCTGTAGAAGCATGCAAAATGCCCACAAATCACCATAGCTCTTCAATCGGGCACTTCGGTTGTTAATACTTGTTGATTCTACTTGGCAGGTTGTCATTTTTGTAAACGATACGTCGCTAACTGTACTTCAAAGCTTAGCGATGTTACCTTTTACTAACATGATATTTTTCAGACTCGTTTACAACGAAGGCTCGACGTTCATGAGGTATGGATACCTCGCGTGAGAGCCCCGTCTTGGATCGTCGAAAAAGTGAGGCCAATCATGTTGATCCGGGGATCGGTGAGGTTTTTGAACAGCTTTCTCATAATATATTAGAGTAAACTTGATACTTTACTTTTTTGGAGTGTTTATGTTGGTAGAAAGGGGCTAAAAGGGTCACAAGATTGTGGCCATCTCTTCTGAAAGGTTTTCCTCAAGAAATCTTTCCAAACTTTGCTAAGGGCAACGGGTGAGTGAAAATAGAGGTAAGCACAACTCTGTAACGTTCGTGGTCGTACGTTTGCGTAGTGAAGCACCATTTCGGAAAACTTTAATATTTTCGTTCTCAATGAGAAATGGAGTCCTTCTCTTGGGTACTGGTTACATCATCGGTTAGCAAATGGTTATCTTTCAGAGGTTTACCATCAACTTGATTTTAAGACCTTTCGAAGTCATACAATATCAATGAACCCTCGAGTTACTTTTGGTAACTCTGACACTTTTTCTAGGCGAAGAAACTTTGTTTTCTTTGCAAGTTTCAGTAGATTCCAATTTTTTGTCTGAAAATTGATGTTGTCAGCATTAAACATAAGATATGTATGTGGTTGCATTTTTCTTTCGAACGGCAGCAATTCTTGAACTTGTTTCAGAACGAAAACCAGATGAAGATGTCTCGGATTCTTCACCCGTTCCGGATATGATGACGAATCTCCAGGATATCTCTCTCGACGATGTTCGGTAAGCTTGTATTCAGTTCAGACCAACTCAACATCGAGAAGGTTTTTCAGTCAAACCGAATGTAAGGGCTCATTTTGAATGGTTTGACCGAGTTCAATACTTTATACGTTGTCCTCCTTGTTCTTTCTGCCAACGTAGCTTTCGTATTCCAAGTTACAAAAGATCAGCATCGTCACAGCATGATTCCCGAAGCTTCCTTAAGAGTTATAAAGTTTCGTTGCATTTTTTTAAAGGGAGATGCATCGGATCCCTATGGAATTAGGGTTTGAAAGACTATTTGAACAGATCTATTGTTCCGTTCCTGTAATATTTTCATATGTTTTATTCGTTTGTTTTTCTGTACGTACTTTTCTGCTGTCTTCAATAAACTTTCAAACTACGATCGAGTTGTCATATTGGGACGCTTCTAGTTTCTTTTTATCCCATGAGTAGGTGGTACATTCAACACGCCTCGTTAAGCTTTGCCTTCTGTTTCAACGGACGCTCATTTCAGCTTTGGCCCATCACTAGTATGGTTGCAGTAACTCATTCATAAGATGCACTATCTCGTCACATTTTTGCCTCCTGACTTTTCTGCGAGGCCGAACACTCCTTTTTCATCACTTCTTTCACGTTTTTATTCTATTTGTTTTGTGCTTATCGTGATGCATCTTTATGAGTCACGGCTCCCCCCAGTAAACTGTCATGGAATAGCATTGGGCGTAGCCAACTAAGAAGATGAAATGAGTCATTTCTTACGCGTGTATGTTGTTGCGTGTCCGAGAAAGGATGTATTTTGCGACTGACTGCTTCGCTATCCTGCGTTAGAGAGATTCGCACGGCCTTCTGCTCATTTCTGTGATGTTTCCTGCCTGAGTAAATGATACCGAACTCATTTTTATATAGTCAACTACGCGTCCAGGGCGCAGCTCGTACCGAAGTTGCTGATTTGAATAGTGGACCGCCGCCTGATCTGTTACTATTTGATCAGTTTTCCCTATGCAGTAAGTCAAATGACGTTAAAGTCTCGAACATTGAACAGTGGAGGATCATTTTATCGTTTTAGGAATTCATCTCGAGAAATTTTCATCATGATTCACCCGTGAAAGTGCAGCCTTTTGAAAATTACAAAACCGCTGTGCCGTATCGATTTCATTTATTGTCTCGAAACCGAACAGTTACCCCAAAACCTTCGATTTCTATACAGCCATTTTATTTTAGGATCTTCTATTTTCAGGGATTCTATAGAACGAGAGGAGTATGAGGACATGGATTCTATAGCGCTGGACAACTCTCAAATGAGCGACCAGGACTGCAGCAGTTCACTTCCCTTAGAGTGAGTCTAATAACTTTACGTTCATAATTCATTTGTGAGGTATAATGTATGATGGTATTCTTATCGGCATGATCGGAATAGCGAGGCTTTTTGAGCCACTGCCAGGAAGATTTTGCTTCAACAATTTGTGATTATTCAGGATCGATAAAAATCTTTGTCCATCAACATTCGCTGCGCCTAATCGAATCAGAGATTTTGCTAATGAGAAAGACGATGGTAGTCATTTTACTGACTTTTTTGTTTATGAATTCTTCATTTGCATCCTACTATTTTTGTCACCTCGGGTTGCATTTCTTAGCAGCCATTTTACTTATTTGTTAGATCTTCATTTTCCATTGTGTAAGCTATGAACGCTCAAATCTTGGAATTTCTTACCATTGCTCTCAGATTACTTTTTCCTCGCAACCCCAATTCTTATTCATCAAATTCAGATATCAAAACAGCGAACGCACTGAAACGACATTCTGCTGATTCTGACACCCTAAGATCATTCAACACTTTGCCGGTATCGCAGTCCAACTTGCACACAAGTATTTCTTCCCTTAATTCGGCAGAAAATGCATCTGTGGAAGAGATTTCGGTGCCGGATGCACTTCGCCTTGATCCACTTCCTGAAAATGATGTGTTACGAGTTCAGGTATGGCAGTCACTCGTTCCTGCTTATTATGCCGAGATTAACCTCTCAAAGCTTGTGCTTACATTCCTTAATTCCCGCACGTTCAATTGCATGCTCTGCACGCCTAACACCTATGAAACCGCTTCCCTTGATTGCATGCTTCTCAATTGTCTTAGGTGGTTCTCCCATCTCGCCTGATGGATATACTCGGGGACGCGGCAGGAGCTCTTGGAGATGAAATTGAGATGGACCTTACTCAGTCGCCAACACCGTCACCGTCTGTGCCCCCAAGTCGTCGTGGTAGCATCGCGGCATTTCAGCGTCGCGATTCGAGAGCAGCAACTCCTGTCAGCGTGTGTCTTTCAGTTTTACCTTTGTTTTGGGTTTTTTCAAAGCTTTCCCTCCCTTCGCTGTTTCCTATCGTTCTTGTTGTTGTTTAATTTAAGTTGCTATTACGATAATTTCTCATGAGTCGCGCTGAAAATACGGAATAAGTTTGTTTCTGATCCCATTCGCTGCCCATACTCATTACAAAGCTAAAGGTGTAAGATGGTTAAGATCGACTAATGTAATAATGAGCTGCTTCTCTACTTCCCTCCTTTTCGAGAGAACTATTCAATGCCAAACCGCTCATAATTAGAGGGGAGTCCCCTAGAATGATTAACTTTTCAGAAAAAGAAATTAGTGGGAAGGAGATGAAGGGAAACGCGTTACCTCAAAAATGAATGGAAAAATACATACCTTGCAGTCTTAACATGTTCGGCATAACCGTAATTTAACATTTTATGACTCTGACGCTTTGTTTTCCTTTGTAACCCTCCTGTATCATGCAGACGGGATCGTTAGGGCTTGCTTCTACTTCCCAGTGACCAATACCGTGAATTTGCTACCTCAGGTAATTTCTTTTCACTTTAGGCAGAAGCGGTAGCGTCCTTACCGCGGATCATGTCTAAAACAACAATCATCCATAGTAGTGACGAGTCTCCTCAGGAAACATTTGAACGGCTAATTCGTGGTATCAAAGATGGCTCTATGGAGAAGAGTGAAATAGAGGATCAGCTTTTCAATACTGTAAGTGTTCAATTTATAATGATCTTCATAAATTTTTATGCAAATCTGCTCTTACAGACGTTCCAAATCCGAATTCCTTCACGATCTGTCTTTTTTTTTACTTCAGTTAAGCTGAAATTTATAATTTAACCAATCTCTAAGGACTGTTCTTCCATCTTTTTTGCGTCATACCACCGATACCACCAAGTTCACTTAAGTGATTGAGTTTTCTTATTCAGTTGGTTGGCGGCCAGTTTGATCTCGAGACAAGGTACATCATTGAGGACAGTAACAATATCGAAAGAATGCTCACACTGCTTACCCATGCGGACGAAACTTTGCAGGTTAGACGCTTTCTATCACCTTTGTTTAATTGTAATTCAATTGAAGTTCATGCGATGTATTTAGGCTGAAATCTGGAGCGTTTTTCTGGCAGTCGTTCGTAAGAGTAAACGAAATTTGGAAGCATGCTCGAGGATTTCATTAATCTCCAAGTAGGCCAGTTACACCGATTTGAATTTTTGAATGTTTGTCTTATTTTTTGAATGAATTCTCTTTATTGAAATCGCATTTTTCTTTAAAATTTGGGGAAGAAGTCTGTTTCAAAAGGAACTTGCACAATTTGATTTGTCCGTGCATCTGGGAAAACATTTTCAAAATGAAAGAAAGGAATCAGGGAGCATAGTGAAAGCATTCGAAAATGTTTTCTGAGATCCCCAAAAAAACTTTCGGCATTGGGAATCGCCTTGCCAAAAACTCCTTTGCGAATATTCTCAATTTAAGCTAGTTCATCTTGTCTTGGTTGAAGCCGGCTTCACCTTGAAAGCCTATTCTATCAGGTTACCTCCTTCCTAACCCTTGTTTCATTGGCTTCTCTGGGGGGACACTTTCATTGTTTGTGATCATCCACTCTAGAAGGCTTTTTTTATGCTTGGTCACTTCTCCATGTTTTTTTTNTTTTTTTTCTTTTCGATCTGGCAAATTATGGATCGCTAATATGCCAGGCTTAGAACTGATCAATCTTTTGAACAACTTAATTTCACTTTCTCGATAGTTTCTTAGGTGGGAATATTCGAGACTTTCCTCGATCAATATATCCATTTTCCCGGTGTACTCTTTCGAATTTTGCGACTTCCGAGGTTAGCGAGAGTAGAAATAAGTATCTTCGGAGTTTTTGTAACATAAACAAAAACACGAGAGCTCTGCCGTAGCGTTTAACCTCTGTAATGAATTGAAGTTCTGACTTTCGCAGTTAAGCACATGAATAGTTCTGTTCTAGAATATTGGATATCTTGCCGGATACCGATGGGATGCTCTCTGATCTTCTTGTACAACTTCTTGGTGTTCTCACCAACTATTCCATCACTGTAAAAGAGACTAAGCAATTTCTGCGCTCGTTACAGGCAGTTAATCACGCATGGGTGAGAGCATATTCGCATTTGAAAAAAAATTCTTTAGTATAGAAACACTGTACTAAAAAACTTCGTTGAAAGATGTTAAAGAATAATGATTTCAGCCCAGGAATTCCCTAAAACTTCTGCAAGTGATGAAGCAAATGCCGGTGCGAGACGATGCCAATGTATTCTTCTCGTTTCCAGGAAAATCGCAAGCGGCAAGTTTTGCTGTAATGTTTTGTTCACTAACTTTTTTTTCTTCGGGTGAATGATGACTTTTTACATGCTTCGTACTTCCGAATGCTCATTTTACCGATTTTATTTGCTGTTTGAATATTTGCGAAGATTTTTATTTAAGGGTATTATCGTTCCTCCTTTCGCTAAGTTTCCTTGCCAGTCTGGTTGGACATTTAGTACATGGTTGAGAATGGATCCAATGTCAAGTGTTCTTTTTGAAAAAGAAAAACCATATCTTTATTGGTAAGGAATTGATTTTGCTGGCCAGTGGAACATAGTGCTTTAATATTCTCATTACTTACAGTTTCCGAAGCAGCAAAATGGTTGGGTATTCTTGTCATTTCATGGGTAATGCCTTAGTTGTTACTGCGGAAAAATCAAAAGGGAAAGTTGTTACCAGATGTACAAAGGTTAGACACTTCAAACAACGTTTTTGTATAGTATCAGATTAATTTCGGAATCTTTTACATTGAACTTCTAATTTTTTTTTGTTTTTAGAAAGAGCTAACTCCGCGAAAGTGGCATCACATCGCAATATCTCATTCATATTCGCGATGGGGTCGCAGTGAAATAAGATTCTATTTCGACGGAGAATTATCAGAGACTGCCGAATTGAACTGGTGAGTTTGACGGTTTCAATTATAACTTTGTGGTGAAATTCAGATTAGGGTTTAATAGTTTCACTTCTTTTGCATTGACTTGGAGTGTGCCTAGTCTCCTTAGGACTTTTTTCTCAAATTGGTTACCATTATATGGAATTTTTTTGTGTTGAAGCTAATAATGGGGTTTAGAGGGCTGATTAACTTCGTTTGTGGGAAGGGTAACTGAAAATTGTGAAAAAAGCGAGAAGGTTCAACGAGAAGGCAAATCACGTTTCTCACATGAAGCTAATACGTTCAGAGTTGGCTACGATTGGTATATTGACGAGGTAGACAGGGCAGTTGCAGAAAAAAAGAAAAAGATGTTTCGCCCTCAAGCTGATTTCCCAACTTCAGTCACATTTTTATGCGAACGATGCTTTTTTTTTTCGAGCGTAGTCTGTCATTCCAAAATTGAGTGCGGTTTAGGGCTGTCTCGACAACCGACCAATTTGATCGCTGCGCGATTGGTGTGTCACCGGAGGGCGATCCTGACACTGCCTTTTGTGGCCAGATGGGTGCGGTCTACCTGTTTGCTGACTCGTTATCTCTCGAGCAAGCAAACTCCTTGTTTTGCCTTGGACCTGCATATCAATCCTATTTCGTGCATGACTCTGGAAGTAATCTTCCAGAAGGCTATAAAAAGGTTTGTAATTTTATAAGACCGCTCTCAGTTTTCTTTCAGTTCTTGCTGTTTTAGCACCTTTTCGATGGTCGCTTAAGTAGTGCTCTTGTAATGGCATATTGCCCGAAAAACTGTCATGGCCAGCTGTGTTTAAATTCACCGGCAAAAGTTCCATCTGCATATTTTGTGCAGGTTCCTCACGCTGTTATGAAGGAGGTGATAACTTTTTTTCTTTTTGTTTTGAATCTGTTGTTTTGGGTCTGGAATTTTGTTTTCGTGCTTCTTTTTTGATATCCTTTGTGCTCCTCATCTCAATGATAAGTGCGCCCACAGTTTGTCTTTGATCTTATGGTAGTAACAAGTTTCCTCACAGTTGATCCCTGCAGTAACTTATCAAGGTAATCATATCCCTAAGATTACATACTTCCTTTAAGGGGGTGGAAGTTATAACTACGCACTCGATTCATAGCTCACTGCAATCTGTAGGAGGAATACAGATTCTTCTGCCACTATTCTCCCAACTAGATCTTCCTTGCGAAGATGGTAATGCTATGGATGGTGATATGTGGTATGTTCACTTTCAAAAATTACCATTCTTTTGTTTTGTCCTTTTTTTCTCCGGTAGTATTTCTTGTCAATGGAATGATATATTTAGTTTTCCTCTGTCCTTTCAGTGACCAGCTGGAACTTCTTTCTTGATGATGAGTAGATATCGTAACAGAGAATTGTTGCAAAATGTTTCGCGGTCATTGGGCCAACGCATATAATTTCAGTTCTACGTTGTTGTCTCTCATTGCGTTGTTGTTGGCCAGCTCACAGACAATTCAGCAGCAATTGTATCACAGTAAAGGATTCCTGATAATTGGCCATGCTTTGCAGAAGGTTATACTTATTCACTTTCTAAACTTTTTTCTTTCCTAGCATACTGAAGATATTCGTGAAAGTTTATCCTCGAGAAGGGTGTTATCATTCAGTCGTCCAACAAGCACATAACAATGAAGGTTGCGGAACAGGTGATAGACATGGCGAAGTTCTTGCTGAGGTGCTCATCCGGTGGACCTCTTATCAAGCAACTTTTTGAGCATATTATGTTCAATCCGAAGCTGTGGATAAATAGTGAGCCAAGCGTGCAGGTGATTTTTCCACTTTCACTCTGTTACTCACGAAATACTTTTCATGTCACGAGTGTTCAGTTTGAGTTTTGGTGGTAGAACTCGTAGATTTGGTAGTAAAATGGGTCAGACATGACCATAGGTGCGGGCTGGAGCCCCTTTTAGGAGGAGTGCTTTGTCCATACCTTGGCAGCTTTGTGATTAATATGAGTACACTTTTCTTGGGTAACGCTGACGACTATTATCGACTCTTAGGTGCACTTATACAATTATCTGGCAACGGATTTTCTTGGAAACACCAACTTCCATCACATAATTCGTCAAGTGGCCACTTTCGGTGAAATGTGCCATGCTCTAAAATTCTACTACTGGGTAACATTGCCCAAACCGCCATCAGCATATCAGGTCAGCTCCTCCTTCTGTTGATGGCACTAATAGGTTTGTGTTGAGTTTCTCATTCTATACAAGCTGTTCTTCTTCAGATAGAAGAGAGACCGGAATCGTTCCCAAGTGAAGCTGTGATAGCGATAAGGTGCGTCTAATTTTATTTTGAATTTATATATTTGTTCGCGCATGTATTTATTTGCATGTCTTGTGATTATTTTTTAATAGTGGTGCCTTTTACTGAATAGCCTACTGTTTTGTGATTTTTAGGGGCTCTATTTTGGTTTTTCTCAACCGATTAATTCTTTTGAATCCTTCGAATAGTTCAAGCCAAGACGCGATTCGTGAGCAAGAAATCCACCAGCTCATGAATTTCGTGGCCACCGTTCATGAGGTAATTACGTCAGAACTCACGCTTAGAGATTATGATCCAGACAGTTCGGAGGCCTAGTGGATTTTCGGTCATTTTTTGCTAAAAAGTTTAACCAACATACTCTGATGCCATAGAAAAAGAGCTCCTAAACGAAATAGTGGTTTCAAAACAGAAGTGAAAAAACGGTTGGGCTTGATGGACAACTCAGTAGTGAGAAGTTTGAAGGGATTTGATTATGTATGTCTAACTGGTTTTCTATCAGAGCAACTACGATATTGAGCTAATTATTGGTTTACCCAAATGTCGTCGGCTCGCGCATTCCCTCCACAAGGTCAAAATTTGAACTTAACCAAAAATATACTTGATATATGGTTATGGTTATATGAATCGCACCATTCTGCTATGTAGACTAACATCCTCGGAATATGTAGATCATATTTTTAGGGAGGTTTTTGGAGTTTTGAAAATGAGTCCGATAAAAATTAGGTTCTAGTCAGGATACGCTTTCCGCAGGAGNTAAGTTACCAAACCGATTTTTATTACCGGAAAATGAGGAACATTTGTCGAGCTTCTGAATTGTTTGGATTTTTTTTGCTGTATTCTCCTATTTATGCAAGAGTCGTTCTTTTCTTTCCTACTGAAAGGCTTTTCAGGATGACAATCTTTATGACGTGCTTGCCTTACTGAATCGTTTGCTGGGATTCTACCCGCATATAATGGTACCTATGTTCGACAAAGACAAGGTACTTAATTGCGGTTTTCTCTGTGTCCTCATAGATTTTTAAAGGCAGATTTTAATTGTCAACAGTTTTATCAGTTTTTTGGTTTTCAAGGCTGTCGGGTTAGTCTTCAAACTGCTCTCGTCACCAAATCAGTTGATTCGGATTCCTGCTCTCAAAATGTTCGGCTTCTATTTGCAACGCTCCACGCTCAAGTGAGTTTCCTTTTTCTGATCATTTGGCCCCCTTTGTTTCACATTTAATTGGGCCTTTACTGTTTTTCAATACCGATACCATGCGCACCTTCCAAGCTGAACTCGAAATTATTAATTTAATCAGCGCCTCTCTTGTGAAGGTGCTAGTTGCTCTGGCCAACTGTTCACTACCCTTTTTGAATCCTATTCATCTCTATTGTTCCTACGGCATTTTTCAATATCTATTCTATCTTTCTAAGAACCCTTCTCGTTTTTCACTGTTGTTTTAGGAGTTCTGACAGAAATCGAAAACTTTCGCTCAAGCACTTTTTCTAGAATCTTGTTTCAAAAAGGTATCTAAGTTTCTTTTCGAAACTTCTTGATGAACACTTTTAGGCGGAAGACGGAATCGGTAACAGCTCGCCATCTGTACACTCTGATTACTGAACGATTACTTATCCATGCGGACTATTTAACGATCCCCACCTATATCGTTTTATTCGAAATCCTGACCGAGCAAATGACCCCGGATTTTGCCTACGCTAAGAGAGAAGCGGCGAGTGCCAGTTGGAGGTTTGTTTTTAATGCTTAAAGATTTTTACAAGCAATTTCCCGTTTTTCGTTCGGTTACGATATCATGATTTTAAAGTAAATAGTGATTACCAGCTTTATTTTGTTTAATTTGTGCTTCTGTGTGCCTGGCACGAGAACGTATTTGTAACGTTACAATGTAGTAAGATAGTTTCGATGGTTTTTTTTTTGCGAAGCAAAGGGGAAGGAATGTTTTCAAACTCAAGAGCATTCGTAAGAGTGGGCAAAAAGTGCGTTGATACCGACATTGTTCGAACCGAAAAAAGCCGCTATTCGTTCTGTAAGGTCATGAAAGACACTTCGAATTCGTAGGAAAGACAACTCGTTTAAAAAAGCCCTCTTGCGTAAAAAAATTGTATTGATGTGTGTTCAAAATTGAAAGCCCACTGAGCGAAGAGTCGCGAATTGAATTTAATCGTTACGAGTTGGTACATTGGTTTGAACAACTAGAGATTTCTTTGACTGAGGGCTGTGATATAGAATAAGTGTGTAGGTTGCACTAGTTGGCCATATTTCCCTTCCTCAGCTGACCGAGATGGTGGAATTTTAGCAGGGAGGCACAATTTCTATCGATAGATCGACAAGACGTGTACCGCATTTTTATGGAGTCTAGTCGAACTTACTCAAGCTACAATATAATTATACTTCATCATGATACTTAATCGCTTTCAAACTTTTTTCAATCTTAAATTAATGAGGCTGCTGCTGTTCAGGTTCGAAAATCCAATGATGCTGAAGGTGATAGCCAACTTGATCACTCAATCTACGGAATCGAATGAACTAATGCGGGTCAAGAAGTCTTTCTTGCTCGACATGATCAACATGTGTCGTGATGGAAAAGACAATAGGAGGTAGCGTCCGTTTCTTCTTGTTGAAATTACTTCCATAGGAAAGCAGTATAATGTTTGGCATTCAACGTCGATGTTAGTGGGGCGAATGAACGGCAGTTTGACAGCGATATACTGCGAATTTTGAATAAATATATTGTTTTATCGAAACAAAACCGACAGGAGAACATAATACTTTCTTCATAGCTGGTGGAGCCTTTCACTTCTTGAGCTTCGCTAGAGTCATTTAAGAAATTTCAGAACTATTCTGCAGATGTCTGTTTGGCAGGAATGGCTGATATCCATTTCTTATGTGTTCCCTAAGACTGAGGCAGAGGTCCTAATTTAGTTACTCTTTTCAATTTTATCCTGGGTTGTGAGGGGTATTTTAACTTCCGTATTGTTTCAGTCGGAAATAACAGAACTAGTTTACGAGATGTTTGCCATTCTTCTACACCATGCTATTCGCTATGAGTATGGTGGATGGCGTGTTTGGGTTGATACCTTGGCGATAGCCCATTCGAAGGTATTTTATAGCTTTCTATCGATAGAAAGTAACCAGCTTGAAAAAACTTTGGCAACAATCAGAGTGTTTAGCTTTCGCAAACCGGCTCCAGTATTTTTTAGGTGTCGAATTGTGGGAGTACTCTAGTTTTACCAATTGAGTCGCAATGAATGAAAAATTAATTGTAAATGACTTGACAAATGGCTATGAGATTTTCAAAAAATTCACTCCTGAATTTTGGGTTTCCACATGGTTTTTCCTTCAAGTTGCCTATTGATACTACCCTGAATTAATTTTTACAAAAATATCGAAATTTGCACTCATTAGGAATGCAGACGCAACAACTCATAGTTTATGTTGCTAGTGCTATGTTGTTAGGTGAGCTTGGAGCGTTTCCGTCGACAACAGCAGAAAGATGTAACAGCGAGCCCAGCAACTACGACTATCACAAAAGAGAACATCAAAGAAAACGAAGGTGGTGAAGAAAATGCACAGTGAGTGCTTCTACTCAGAACTTTACTTTTATTTTACTTAGTTCTTTCCGATTTTTTCGAGTTTTTCTCTCAATGGTACCATAGGTTTTTGTTTCCTTTTGTAGGAAGAAGCTATTGTTTCTTCAACACTGAATTTATAATGACTGCTTTTTATCGGCAGCAACCGAACTATCTAGCTCAACCTGAATTATAGATCTTTATAGGTATACGGTGATGATTTAGAGGGTAGTGTATAGCATGGTAATTTATATCCACCATTACCTCATCATCTATTCTTAGCTTTAAGCTGCAGAACTACTCCGCCATATTTTTTTCTTGGTTTATTTTCGGGGCCGTACTTGCATTCTTTATTATTAGTGAACCTTTATAATTATTTCGAGCAGGGCTGTTCAGAGCGTGCTTCGGTGCTACCTACCAATGCTTTCCTCGTTTTTTCTTCAAGATTTCTGCCTTCGCATTCTCAACATCAAATTTTCTTACCATCGCTGGAATCTTGCATTCATGACTAGGTTTTCTAAAGCACTATACGCTTTTCTCTTAGTAATAACCTTTCGAGGTCTTCAACTCCGGACGAAATGCCAACGCCGATTTATCGAACACCAGAGTTTTGCTGGTCATCCGTTCATCTTCGGCTTCTTGGCGACCTTTTGGGTGGGATTGAAACTGTCGTTGAAGAATGGAAATTGTGAGTATTTTCGAACTTTTTTCCCCTTTGTGAAGAGTCTATTAAGAGAGTGTCATTTAACGACTTCCTACTTTTTATGTTAATTGCAGTTTCAATTGGGACAAACATTTGTTTAGATCTGAGTCATCATCTATTAGTGATCTCTGCAATACGAACGACAATCAGGTTTGTTGTCAATTAGATTTTTTCATGAAGTGTTCATATTGCTTTCAGTTGTGCAATATGTTTGTAAATAATTAAAGTGGAGACGAATTGCAACAAACTACTGGTAATTTTTCAGATCTTTGTTGGAAATACTGTTCATGTCATCTCGCAATTGGCTGACAGTCTTATTATGGCTTGCGGAGGCCTACTCCCTCTTTTGGCTTCTGCGACATCACCTAACGTACGTTGTAACTGCTGAATATTTCACTTGGTTCTTGTGATTTTTATGATCTAGACTTATATTTTCCGGTTGCTCACTTTCACTTTTACATTTTCACTTTTGATTTTCTGTTGGCCCTGTTCTGTACTTTGGGGAGGAATATGAGATATTTTGTGCGGTTACTTAAAAACCGGTTCGGTCATTTTCTAAGTTTTAGGGGTTTCCATTAAATTTTCTCATGTTCAGAGCGAGTTGGAGATAACTGATGCTTGTCAGCAAGAACTTCCTATTGAGTGTGCCGCAGCGTTATTGTCGCGATTTGTACAGCTAGTCGATGTCTTCGTTTTTGCAAGTGGTGTTTCATTTGCTGAGTTGGAACAGGTGTGCTACAATTATTAACTCATTTTTGATTCTCTAAAATCCTGTAAGCCGTTTGTTGCAGGAGAAGAACATGCCTTCTGGAGGTGTGTTGCGACAAGTGCTTCGCTTAATCTCGACGGCCGCAGTTCGGCATATTCTCACCGCCCGTGTCCTGCGTCCAGACAGCAACGGTCAGGCGTTTGAACCGCATGCAAATCCGAAGAACGAGGCTATCTATGAATTCGTGAAGGGAGCAATCGAATCGGTAAGTTGATTAAGTGAGGAATGGTTGGTGTAGTGACGGAATCCTTCGATGTATTGTTCCAGCAAGGGAAGGAAGGAATTGTGGATTTGGATCGCCTTCTACAAGACGTCGATTTGCAGCGTATTAAAGGAGCTGTTTACCGAGATATGGTAGTGAGTGTTTGCTAAATTGTTTGAAAATGTTTTCTTACAACTCTTACTCCCATTTTTCTCCCACTTGGAACTAACGGATTTGAGCTTGATTGCTAGAGTTTTTCGGATGGAAGTGTTATATGAATGTTTGCTTTGTTCGAGTAGCGCAATGATAAATTGAGATAATCTTGATTTTTCTTTTTTTTTTCTCGGAAAAAGTGACTTGACATTAAACAACTCAAACATTGTCAGTATTTATATGAAGTTTAAGATCATTTCATGGATAATGTGGTGATAGCGTGAAATTCGGGAAATAGTGCATTAAGAAATTTGCTTCTGCTTCTTTACGATAACATACTTACACAAGGGCGAGAGTTTTTATCCGAGCTTAAGAGCATCAATTCCAACTCTAGTGCGTAGTCTCAGGAGCTGGTAAGGTCAGAAGGTTAAGAAGTGATCAGAAAAAAGTGGCACACTTTAAAGCAGTTAAAGTGAGAATTTGATTCTATTTTCTTCCTTTTCTGATCCAGAAAGCTAAGTGAAAAGTTCCCAGGAGGAAAATCGTCAAGCTCAATTCCTTGCGTTGGCCGTTGTTTACCTTCTTTCGGTCCTTATGGTATCTCGATACAGAGACATTTTGGAACCACCAGCTAGTCCGAGCCCCTTCTTCAATTCTGCTACCAATGGTGGTAGGTTGTCTTGTTTTTTTTTTGATAAGAGGCTTTGAAGAAGAAGGTAATCATAGTATGACGTACCGATATTTCAGAGGAATGCAGTACACCTGGATCCTCCTCTGCGGGTGGGTCTGAAACCAAAGGCGCCAAGCCTCCTACTCCGGAGAAATCAACTGCAAACGGAGAAGCTTTAAGTGAAGACGAGCACAAAGAGGAGAAAGAAGGGATTTCAGCTATCATGGTGACTCCTGAAACGATGAAAAAGGATGGAAAGGACTATAAAGTGATTTTTTCACTTTTGTTTCGCTTGGTTTATCATCCCTATATGAAATGAAATGGGCTTCAGGCTGAAGAGTTGTCGAAATTGGGGGCATCGACGACAGGTGCTCCTTCTCAACAACCGGCTGAACGAAGGCAGTACCTAACTAGCAAACTGCAAACCGCATTGGAGACCACCGCACCACTTCTGAGAGAAATCATGAGTGATTTCCGATCATTCTTCCAAAAAACTCTTCTTGGTACACATGGTCAAGAAATTATGAATGATAGCAAAGGTATTTCATTTTGTGCTCATTTTTTCGTGGTTTTCTTTGCTGGGATTTGAACAATTGCAGTACTGGAGACTCTGAAAAACCGACAAGGTTCTGTCATTGAGCTTGTCATGTTACTCTGCTCGCAGGAATGGCAGACTTCTCTTCAAAAACATGCTGGGCTTGCCTTCATCGAACTGGTTAACGAAGGTAAATCTCGATAGATGTTCATGTTTAAAACTTTTTTCTTTCTTAAGTGTTTTGGTGGCTATTTGAAATGTAGCGGTCCTTGTGCCTTGCGCTGTTCTATTACAACGGTGAAGATTACTTTTAATTTGTCGCTTACCGTGCGCTGGGATAATCGATAGTAATGTGGTCCTCTTGACATACCGATACCCTGGGCCACATATTTGTGGTATTCTTACTATTGGTGAGTACTTTCTCGATCCAGAAGTTGGCAGATGTAGTGTTCTTGACTTGTGTCTCTTAATTTGTTGCCACCAATGTGGTAACAAGTTGAAGCTCCGATTGAGTGACTGATGACTGACACTTTTTCACTCACATACCTTATGTTGCTTCTTCACATTGGACCTAATCCCTTTCTGACGGTCTAAAGTTCTTTCTAATTCCCCTTGATGAAGTTCTCTACTTGAGTGTTAATATCAGTCATTTACAGTTGCTTAATTAAGGGCGACTTATGGCACATGCTACTCGGGATCACGTGCTGCGCGTCTCGAATGAGGCAGACTTTATTCTGAATCGCTTACGTGCTGAGGATGTTAGCAAACATGCTCATTTCGAGGTTTGCTTCTTGAATCATTTCGATTTTCTTCAGTTGTAGCCGCTATGAAGTCTAAATGCTAACAAGAGTGTGTTGTAACGTTTTGCCCCTTAAGAGTGAGACGATGGCAAACCTTGACTTGCGGCGTGAAGAGGAAGCGCGATGGGCTCAAGCCATCCGAAATGGACGACGACGAGATGGTCGCCTTGCTGCAAAGTTGCTGGGAAACATGATGACTGTCCTTTGCAGTCCCAGTGGAGCTTGGAGTGCAGGAGATGAAGCTGCGTGGGTTGATAGTTGGCCTCATTCAATTACTTTTTTTGCTCTATTTTACCTGTTCAGGCAATTGTTCTGGCGACTGGATGTCTGGGAAGATGACAGCCGTCGGAGGCGTCGTTTCGTTCCGAACGTTTTCGGTTCGAGACATGAGGATGCGAGTGTAGTTAGCGTGGCGTCTGAAGACCAGGAGCTGAGCGAAGAGGAGAAATTGAGGGCTCTTGCAAATAGGTATGAGTAGAAAGTTAATTATACTCTTTTGAGGTATTCTTTTTTGTTTTCCATAGTACTCTAAGATATTTGAACATAAACTGATTCAGCATCGTGCCTGGCCGTAGTCAGTCGTCGGAGTTGGTTGATGAAAGTGACATAGACAAATGGGCTGCTGAAATTGATCCCACGCCAAGCAGTGGTACGTGAGAAGTTGGTGTAATTCCTTGAAAAAGAGGCTTTTGCTAAAAAGCACCGTACTGTTCGGGTCACTTTTCCATGTTAAGACTGACTTGTTTTCATAGAAGGTAACGAAACTTGTATTTGAGAAGAGGTGACTGACTCCAAGGTGATTCGGTTGGCACAGGCGAAGTTTAGTTTCCGTTTCTGTCTTGTGACAGAGCATTTCATTGCCACTGCTCCGGCTGAATACATTAAAGGCATGATATTTCCGTTAAGTGTACTTGTATCCTTTATGCCCATGATGTGGGATTTGTTCCGATCCAGTAAGTATTAGTATAACGAAGAGACACGTCTTGAAGCATCGAGCGCCAGCAAATGAGATTCCTCGAGGAGATGCTGNGGAAATGGATTGATAACTTCGGTGTGCGAACAGCTTTCACGGCAAAGAATTTCGTTGAATTCTCGAATGGAATGACTCCAGATGCTTGAAGGAAATTTCCTAATCAATGCTCCTCTTCATGAGATAAACTCCTACAATTGGACGTCTACATGAACTGTCGGACCAGTATTTAGTATTTAAGTTGTTGTTTGATCAGCGACAAACTTCCTCCTTCATGGTTCACTTTTTCAATGCTCCATTAGGTAGCTCTAAAGGCTGGGTACTGGCAATTGTGCTCTACTCCCGAAGACACATGTTTCTTCGCCTTTAATAGGAGTTAATGTAAGAATACCTCGTACTTAGCGCCAGCTGCTGAGGAAAGATTTCTCAGCATGTTCCAAGTAGCTCGTCGTTTCCTTCCCGTGCGATTTGTCTCAATTTGTCCGCATGAGTGGGAAGCGCTGACGGGTTGTCTTGTTTGATGTAAGATCTGTATCTTCCAACGTTAATGAACAGCGATTATATCGAAAGTCGCACTTTTACGACCTCATTGTTTCGTGTGCCATCCGTTGGAAATCGAACCCACTCGTGCAGTTCATGTCCTCTGCCGGGGTCGCCTGTCCTCTTAGCCGTACCGTATTTGTCGCCTTCAATCAACTTGATTAGTCGTAAGAGCACAGAAAAACGCCGTCGATGGCGGGCGCTTTCGCCTGAGATACGATTTTCCTCCTTATTACTCCTGAGTCATGGAAGAAACATTGAAGTCTCTTAACCTCTCCCTGTCTTTGATTGGGTACTGAAACGACGGCAAGAAAAGGGACGAGGGTGAATTTCGGTACTTTTCATTATTCATTCAATTATTTTTGCAGTAGTAATACGCTACTGAAAGAATTGAACGTCTGGGCTCCTTGCCATCTTAAGCCTTTTTGAACCGGAAAATAGTTCAACGACGAGTCTATATGGCAGTTGAATCGGAGCCGGTTTTTTCTTGCAGTCAAGCTGTAGAGGCCGGTATGTATCCAAGCAACGTTCAAAATTTTCTGCATGAATGTCTGGACCCCAAAAATGGATTAGCTTACGCAAAGGCCGTTATGTCCAGTGCTGCAAGGTAATTCAATGGGGAACCACAACTTTTTGTCCTTTTCGCTACCCAGTTGTGCTTTGTCTCTTCTATCATTTTCTTTGGTCGTTCATGGGCCATGTGGACTGCCAACAATTTACAGTTGGGTGTGACCCATAACAGATGAATCCGATCCGCAGTGTCTGTCGTGACTGCTGTGGAGAACATTAGCGCCATTATAATCATTACGGTAATGCGCCAGTCACTTATGACAGCAATTAAATTGGTTCACATAATGCTCTATGGAGACGTCTATTGGATGGTTTACGTTGAAAGCGATGAATGTGGTCTCTAGAAGAGAATAAGCCGAATGCTTTTTTCCACATTGGGTTTTCGTCAAGCGATTTGTGTGGCATGGTCAACGCAGCTTTTTATGAATTTTCGGATGGATACACCCGGTGGATTCACGACCTCATGAAGATCAGTCGCTTTGTTACCTTGAGCGTCTTGGACGAAGAATTAGTTCGCTTCATGTTGTGAGGAAATTTATCCTGATCCCTTCTTTTGCCATCGAATTTCAACAAAGCCTTGGGACGGGGATTTGATTTCGTTGAGTCTTGTTTGATAGTTTGTGATTAGGTGTTGCTGTAATGTTCGTGTGATCCTTCCTGCGCCTGTTCTGCTCATCAATTCACAACAACTCCGCTCCTCTTTCAAATCCTGCAACAATCGTATGATCAGTGAAAAGATTTTCGACGGAAGTTCTTTTTGGTGTGTATGAATTTTAGGCGATGAACTCGAAGCTGGTAATCGAGTGAGAGCCATAGTACGAATCTTCAGGTCTTGCACCGGGTTCGATCACATCTCGTACAGTCTCCGATTCAATCGGAGTTTATTTTAATCGAATCAGAGGTTGTACGAATTTTAGTCCATCGTAGTCCAAGACCTTCAAAATGTGTTACCATGGATGTAGCTTGACAACTCCCACTGCACTGCGATGCTTTTCCCTGTTGCTTCTGAGCAAGGATGAGCGGAACCCAAGAGATCTAATCGAACAGTGCCACCATTGAGCCAGCTATTTCTGACCTTGTACCTTAATCGAAAAAAGTTCTAGGTAATGAATATCAGGAGTATAGATGTAATATTTGTAAGTATTAAATACATTTAATTGGGTTCCATGGAAATTTGAAGGGTCTGCTGTTGTCAGTGACAGCTAGCAGACCGAAAGCACTACAATTGTAGCGGTATAGGGCTTGACAAAATGAAGGTTTCGATATTGTTTTTCGTTTTACTACTCCACCTGTACCTTGCCATTCTTCACCTAGCGGTTCTCAAGGTTAGGCAAGACCTAATTCTGAGTGATTGTTGGTTCATATGTAAAAGGAAAGGAGTCCAGTTTGAGAGTTGTCCCCTATACTTTCCCATGGAAGGAGCCAATCGTTAAAAATTGCAAATAATCTTCAAAGTGTTCGACAATGCCCCCTCATCTTCCATTTTTTCCAAGAGTTAGGCCTACTGACGTCGTGGGAACCATTGTCAATACCTGTAGTTCACGTTTTACCCCTCACGCCTTATCCATCCTCTCTTCTACCGATACTAGCAAGCCAGGCGTCAATTACCATCCTTCATCTTATATGGATGAGAAGGTTCAGGCAATATAGCGACAACAATCTTTGTTTTGAGTCTTGACGGGCAAAATATGGTCAGAATAGGAATTGAGTACCGGCATGATGATGGTGCAAAACAATTTTTCTGACGAATCGTGAGCATAGAGTCTCCTGGAACAGTTACCCAAATTCTGAAATCACAGCTCAATGCTTCTCGACTGTTTCTACAATAGGCAAGAACTTGCTATTTTTCATGAATTTTGGTTCTTTGTAAACCAGATATCTAAAAATTTATCTTCCATGGCTTTTACCTACAACTCCGCTGTCTCCTTTCCCAGTCATTGGCGTTGATCTTGAGTCTTAGAGTAAAGTCGCATGTCGATCACTGCTGAAGCCGTTCAGTCCACTTCCCCTAAAGCCACCGCCGTCACTCTCGTAATCTCCTCCGCAATTGAGCGCGTTCGTCTTGTGTTTTTTCCTCGAAGGTTCATGGCGAGGGGGATGGAGGGCTTATGATTGCCCAAGTCGTATGTCATACGACATGGTCGGCCCCAACAAGCGCCAATTACTAACGATGCTCGTATTACATCTTATTATGCCAATCGTTTTCCATCAAAAGCTGTCGTCATAGAGCGTTCGAGAACGAGGACAGCGCCAGATGGCTGCAGCCGACCCCTTGCGAACACCTTGCTGCTACGGTAGTGGTGCGAGAGCGGCCGCATTACCGGATGGGTTTGTCGGGCCCCCTTAAAACGGTGGCTTCAACCTGAAGGTCATTGACGAAAAAGGAAATCAGCCGTGTTTGAAACGACCGAGTACATATTGAAGAACCACGTTTTTCAGAAGTGACAAGCTACAGCACTCCGGCTAAACTGATTGCACCAGGAGTCGTAGTTCCTGGTACTTTATCAATCACCGCTACTGATTTGTTCTTCGATGCTGATGAGGAGAATCCGTTATACAAAAAGCAGGATCCAAAGGTTGGTTTATGTTAAAAAATTTATTTAGAAACACCGAGAAACACATGAATTATGACTCGTACTGCTGGCTCTTCGCTGAGAAGGCCAGTATTGGCCAAAACAAGGGATAAGTCGGACCAAATTGAGAAATCGGGTAGAAAAAAGACAGTTGAGGTCGTTGACAATATAGATTTGGCCTACCCGAATGTCGTATTGATAACTGTGGTTAGATAAAATTACGTGGAAATAGTGAAAGCACGAAATAGTTGACTGAACTGTTTCAAGGAGAAGATACAATCGGAGTTTGGAACAGAAATATCCTGAATTTCGAGGAGAAAAGAAAAAACAAATTTGCAAGTGACTCAGAGGGCTACTACAGCGTTTCAAGGGCACGAGCGTTGAGCATTAGTTGGCGAACGAGATTCCATGCCATTTTCGAGCTTTGATCAAGTAAATGATGAGGCTTCCCTCGTAACAGATCAAGTTGTGGAAGGAAATAGTGCGCACATCGCCGACATTGAAGACAACTCACCAATTGCAAAAGGACGCCTGAAATTCATTTGGTTACTGTAGTTCATAGACAAGTTTCTATTTCGCGACAGTCAGCCATGATATGGGGTTGGTAGGGCGATCGGCAACGTTTCTGCGTAAAAGACTGCAAAACGAGATATGGTCTAATCGTATTAAGGAGTTAGCACTCGCTACGTTGCCGTATAGTAGAAGAAGTTATGTCATACGAAAATCGTTGCCGACAAGTTTTAAAGTTAGTGCATGAAATTCGAATTAGGCAAATCGAATAACCAGTTCCGAGGTGATAATGATAAGAAAAAGTAATGTGTAACCGTTGAGAAGTCCTAGAAGTGAGTGTTGTTTTACTCATGACCGTAGGTTTAATGGCAGGACCTGAGCTCACAAAAGGACAGCGTACTCAGTAGCCTGGTTGTCCGGAGTTCTGGAGTTAGTTCAATGCACTTTTCCCATCCGGCATTAGTGTAAAAATATAGGTATAACAATTAAGGGGACTGCCATACCATATAGCATCAACTACTTTGCCATTCATTTGTCATGAACTCCTCTTTCACATCCAATTTCTCATCTGCTCCTATGCGACGACGTTGTCTGTGGACGCTGAAGAAAAGACGGCGGGCGGCGGTAGGGGGCAGCATTGGCGTCGACGGCTATTTCATGGTGTTGATGCCCTTGTGCTGTGGAATGGGCTGTCGAAAGCAATAAATTGATGCGCAATGACACGCCACTAATGTTCTGACTCGACTGACTCGACTCTCGGGAGAGATATCAACACTTTGTCAATGCGCACTACTTCAAAAACAGCGCTTCAAATAAATATTCTGTATCGACCATGGCAACAACTGGGCGCATCCTTGTAATAGCGTGTCCGATCAACGCTCGTCGACAGGGTAGCCTCCATCATGAAGGGTTACGTGCCGTAAGCTTGTCCTTGTTTAGAGAAGATTCGGTGGCAGGTAATGGTCGCGCTCTGAATCCACTGCATAGGGTCTCACGTAAGAAGTGAAAGGCTTCCGATGAATATCCAAGTTGATCATGGTCTTCTTTTTTGGTTTTCTGTCAAAAAATAGTACAGTAAGAATTTAAATGTGCCCGAATCGGACTGCTGGCCGACTGAAGCTGAGGTGAAGAAGGGTATGATTTGAAAGGAGTATGAATAATCATGTTCAAAAAGGAGGTTGAGATAACAAATGGATTTAGGTTTGTTGAAAAAAAATCCTCATGTTAAACACCGCTTGACGGTGTTTTAGTTAGAATGGAGGGCCTACCAAGTCAGGCTGAATAGTAGAGACGAAATTGTTGAGAAAATAACTGCAATAGTATTCACTCACCAATTATCCTGTCCCCGATACAGTTGTCTTCCCATTCATAATCATTGCAGTGCTTTTCACACTCATATAGCATTAAAGTTTTCAGAATATAGTTAGTGATAGGAGTGCCGGGAAAGTCAAGATGAGTGTCCCGTAAACACTTCAGAATGCTGAGCGCTTTTCGTCGATTACCGGCTGGAAAGCAAGGTTATACCTAGTATGCCTGAGAATGGAAGTAAGTATATGAACTCACCCAAGAGCACATTCTCTGCTCCTGTAAGATTCATCGCCCAGGCATCCCCTTCCATGGAGCTGGCCTGCTTGTTTTGTTGAGCTGAGACTGCACCAGTTTCCCGGCTCGTTAGATCAAAGCCCTCGTTCTTCACCTTAATCTATGGCTTACTTCCGAACTCACAAGTTGTTACCCGATTCACGGCCTACCTCGGCAGCAATGGCTGGATTAGGCCACGGAATAGTGTTATTCGGCCAGTGGCTCGCAGATCGTGGCCAGATTCCATTGCATCGGAAGGCGCATGTAATTTGAACGACGTATTTGTCATCTACGCGTAATCGAACGTCACTTGTGTCGGTCAGAAGTTTGCAGTAATCCCTAGAAGTACTCAGTAGACCTCCAACAGTTCCTTGGGAAAATCAAAGTCAGTGGAGAACCTACCGGAAAGGTTGCTTCTCAACCACCTGTCCAACCAGCGTTTGAAATCGGCTGCGTATCTTCCGTGCCGATAGGTAGCCGCTTGCAGTGATAAACTCCACCCACAATGACATGGATCGTTTTCGTCCATCGCTCAATTTGAGCACAGCACATCCTTGGATGGAACCATCATCGACGAAATTGAATACACCCATTTGATTCAGGTAGAGGATCGCTTCATATTCGTGAGGAGAATGAACGATCAACTTGAAAAGATGTTTTTTTNTTTTTTTAGAAAAGAATGATCCTTATTAATTGTGACAGGAACAGGGAGATGTTCTTAATTGAAGCATAAAGGTATTGAAGCGACTTACCCCGTCGTATCGGCCATTGGTTTCGACTAAAGTCGAAATGAATCGGGGTTCTTGGCTCTCAACATCCTTCAGTACGTCCTGCACAACCTTGGCAATCCGATAAACGGATTTGTGGACATGGTTCTTGCGGACCTGCACTTTATCATTGTAGTAATTGGTTATTTGATAGACTGTGTTGGGATTATGGCCCAACATAGGCAGTTCTTCCTTCTTGATCTTGACGGAGTAGAGTTTTTTCAGGTGGATATGATTGAGTGCATCAGCAAAGGGTAGAAGGAATAGGAGTCGAAGGTGGCAGTTGCTGAGAAAGTGTAGCGGAGTTACAAATGAACTTTAGTTAATCGTGAGTATAGGCGTGAGCTGGCGAATCCGGCTGGCGAGTGGACGGGGCGTGGTTGTTCTGCAACTAACGACAATCAATCAACGGTCGATATCGCCCCGCCTTCTTTCTTGGCTACCTGTTCAATTATTTACAAGTGTGTCTTTTACGCGACAGGAAGTCTATGTTTTGCTCATCTGAAATTACGTCACAGAAGCCGCTGTGCAGAAAGGAGTAAGCGGCTCTGAACAAATCCCACTTCTCTGAGAAGCACAACAGTGGTCGTACTCGGGTGGAAGTCGACTAGGTATTGAACATTTGTTGCTAAGAGACTTCTAAAATGGGATACGTACTCGGTGAGGTGGCATGAGTAAGACGAATGCGATTGGCTGAAGACCGGTTGAGCGACGAGGCACACCTCTGTTACCGTAGCCCTTTGGCATTGTGTCGACGTTGACACCCGAGAACTTTTCTTCAACACTTAGTTGTCATTCGACCGATCGAGTCAACATTATCACCGATGATACGTGTGATTTTCATCGATCGTAACAATGATTGCCGATGTTTCACGAAGATTTGTGTAATAGTGTTCGTCCACCTTTGTCATGTCATTGCTAGCGTGGAAGAAATGGGCATCTCTTGCGTTATTGTCTCCGTTCAATGTGGATATCCGATGTTTTTAGTTTTAGAGAAAAAAAAACCTTATGAATCGACTGTTTTTTCGTTCACTATGACGAGATTGACATTCAAGAGATTTAGGGATGTAAATCCTATTAGTCGTTCGTGTTGTGGATTGAGGCGATATGATACAAATTTTAGAAAGATAAAATTGTGCCTGAAGGTGAATTTGTCGCCTGTGGATGCATTTTTATAGCGCATTAATGAATAAATGATAAGCTTCCGACACTGCTGGCTAGATGGAGCTCCCTTGAAAAATTTCCTTTCAACAAAAACAGTTTAAAAGTGATGGAGAACAGTGGCAATTAGAAATAGTTTCAAATCGATCGCTTTCATTACTAGAACATCATCCTTTTTTTGTTAGCAACCTCTCGGATATCTCTCGACACTTAGACTAGTTCAAAATACTTTTTCCCTTGAAATTTCTTCATCGATTAATATATCCTGATGTCTTTGATCCGATCTCAACTGCCACTTTTATTCTCTGCTGATTTGGGAGTTCAGTGGGTGGCCGATGTACTTGAAGGCCTCTATGAATCCTTGGTCATTCGTCATAAACCTTTGCTTCTCGTCAGAGTTTACGAAAGTTATTAAATTGTAGTAACAACTGATAGGGTAAATAGAGTACTTTCCATATAATGTTACCGAAGATTTTTCGGATTGATTGTTTCCATCAACTTCCATAATTACTGTTCTTCCCGTTGTTGTCTCCTACCAGACTACCACATCTCTGTAACACCGTGACGTTATCAGCGTACGGTCTTGCTGTAGAATGGAGCTGATCCGACAAAGTGCTGTAATCTTTGAGTGAGTTTATCATGGCGATCATGACGGGTCGAGGTCGTAAATCGCCTGCGCATATCCGTCGCGCACGGTGGGAGAGACAGTGATGCGCCTCACCGGTGCGCAACTTTGGTATTACGGTAGGGGACTTCGGAAGAATAGTGCTGCTTTCCCCAGGCTACGGCCCCAGTTGGACTGGAAGCATTTTGAGCCTGTTAAGGGATGTTCCGACATCAGTATATGTTTACTAATGATGTAGTTTGTAATGGTGAGGTAGCTCAACTACTGTTGCTCATCAATCCAAGGTACGAGTATTTTAAGCGTCCCTGAAGACCCATTTTCAGTCCCATACTTCCCTATGTGCCACTCATTTCGTTCGTTGATAAGAGTTCTGGAGTCCTTGCTTCAACCCTTTCATTGTTCGCCCACTCGTGCATTGTGAGGCCACTCTAATGGTAAAGGAGAGGCTTGGGCTTCGACCCTAGTACTGGATTGGTGAACAATCTCTTGGAAAACTTTCCTAAGAGTATTGCGTGTCACACGGTGTGCACACGCGAGAGCAGTAATTAGTGACATTCGGCTGAGCGATGAGCGTCCAGATAACAGACGAGCTGTCCCGATACAGTTGGCGGTTTGTTCCTTGAACGAAGGAATGGATCTTATTACGATCCGAAGGTTACTCACAATGGATTTGGTATTGGCATAGGTGGGTTTCGGGCGGAAAAATGAAAAGGTAGGTGGCCCTTCTCTCTTTGGTAGTGAAGACATGAGACTGAGGACTTGAGACCTTTACACTCAGAACTCAAATTTCAAAGCTGGCTCACAGAGATTGAGTCTTGTTCTGAGACTTGTCTTTTGTGACAAATCTCTCTGGTAGTGCCCCATACACGATAACTCCCGATTAGACTGTCGGCATCCTCTTTGTTCATAGTCGCTGACGGCTCAGATATGCGTTCAGTCAGGTGTGATGGAATCGCATGCGCACTTGTCACATTTCCATGAGAAGTGGAGTTGTGAACTGTGTGACAGCCAACTGATTCATTGTGATCTGAAAGGACTTTGATTTGATTTGTCACTCAACCGAGTAACCCCGTTCCCATCGGAGATGGGATTTATTTTCGAGTTTGGAATTACACCAATAATGTTTGTAGGTTTTGCGGTACTGCGAATCGTTACATGGAAGATGGAATTTACAAGAGATTCGTGCCGTATTCCTACGTCGACATCTTCTACAGAACATTGCGTTGGAGCTGTTCCTTGCAACAAGAAGTAGGTTTTGTTACTTCAATGTGGTTAAGGTAATATGGGTTCTTTTCAGCTGCGGTCATGTTCGCATTTCCCGATCAGGAGACAGTGCGAAACGTCGTTTATCAGCTTCCTCGTGTGGGTGTTGGGGTGAAGTATGGTCTTCCACAAAGTCGAAAGACAAGCTTGATGACTCCACGCCAGCTGTTCAAGCATTCTGACATGTGTCTGAAATGGCAGAAGGTAATTTCCATTCTCCGAGGAGGTTGAAAATCCTAGGGATTATTCGGTTACAATTCTATTAATAGTTGTAAAATTAATATGCAGAACTTAACGTTTCACTCTTCAAATTTCCACCTGTTTGAATTTATTCTTGACTTATCCGTAATCCCAAATAACAAAATGATATTCTAGAGGGAGATATCCAACTTTGACTACTTGATGTTCCTGAATACGGTAGCCGGTCGAACATTCAACGATCTGAATCAGTATCCAGTGTTCCCGTGGATTCTTACCAACTACTCATCGGATCAACTTGATCTCAATGTGGCAGCTAATTTCAGAGATCTATCGAAGGTAGTTTGTTAACGTATGCAGAGTTTTGATAGCAATCGACAGCCAGTCAGGTGGTGCTGTTTTTGCGAAATGAGCTTGGTAGGATCTTCACCTGATTGGCGCGGAGCTGCCGTAACAGCTGTCTGTTAGCACTTTTTGTCGATCATTTCAGCCTATCGGCGCCTTGTCTGAATCTCGCCGGAAGTATTTCCAAGAACGATACACCTCATGGGAAGACGAGGCCATTCCGGCTTTCCATTATGGGACACATTATTCGACACAAGCGTTTACTCTAAACTGGCTGATGAGAGTGGTGAGTTCCGAATCACACTCTATAAAGCAGTTTCCTGAATTCTGGCCCTTTTACTTAATCGAGGTGTTGGATTTTGGAAACTGTCAGAGGACACTTGTTGAATAAGAGCCTGAAGGAAGCAGCTTCAATGAAAACCGGAAAACTATCTAGGTAGACTCGATTGATAGGCTGATCCATGTTTATTTTAAGAAGTGGGAAATGAAGTTCATGGGAACAAAAAAGGGTTGATTTGTGTCGCGGTCGAACAGCACGTCGTCTGACAAAAGAACTGGATAGCAATTGCCATGGGCGATCGGGTAGTCACATCTTGTACCGTGCAAAAGTGTGCGCAACGCTTTTTAAGGACTTAAATGTTATATTGAGCAGTGAGGTTGGATCTAACAATAAGTCCCTTTCTGAATCTGATTAGTTCTTTACTGAACCTTCAAAAGGCGATCCTTGCGAAGGCAAATTTATATCCGAAGGAGAAACATAGTGTTCGACTTTGGGCAAGGCTTCTCCTAGTCTGGCTGGTCAAATGTTCTAATTTCCTTTGAAAGACCAGACTGACGGCAAATTTATTTGTCATTTACTGCAACAACATCAGTGTGAGTTGATCAGTTGCAAAAAGCAGGATAAATAGATTCTGAGCAAAACTTCAGCAATTCCACTTCTACCCTTCTAAATGTCACACTTTTTCTTCCTATTTTTCTTGGAAAAGTGTTGTTCTGCTATTCAGGCTTATGATTGAACCTAATTGTTCAGGAGCCGTTCACAACAATGTTTCTCGACATGCAAAACGGTCGATTCGATCATCCGGACCGGGTGTTTCACAGCATCGCCGAAACATGGGATCACTGTCAAAAAGATTCTCATGACGTAAAGGCAAGGGATTACAGCAAAGAATCTTAATCTTTTTTATCCTTGTTGAAAACTGGAGTACGAATTTGGGAAATTATTCGATTTGGTTCTGTAGTGTGAAAATCGTGTCTCCTCCGCGTAAGTCGTTGATTGTGCGTGAGAGAGGGTTCCGCATAGGCGCAATCCTTCCTTCTGCTTATTTCCTATAGCAACAAAGCTGAGATGTGAAGCGAAAGGCGCAATTCCAAGAGGCTTGGGATTGGATGAGGAGCTGGGTAACAGAAGACAGAGACGAGAAGTAGAAGTAAAGTGAGTTGGTGTAATAGGGGGAGAAACTGGAGAACAATAATACAAGGAAAGAGGCAGAAAAAAATGAAAAATTAACAGTTGAGGGTAAGGGAATAAAGGGATCCGCAGTGAGAGTTGGTTGACATTGTGACTGTCCTCATATATAGAGGTGATCCATGAATGAGTTTCTAGGAAATGATGATAAGTGTGCAGAGCTAATTACTAATGGGTTTCTTCTGACACCTTCAAAAATGATTCCGTAATCGGTGATCCTGTACCCACGTCGTTCATCTACCAGTAAGCTTTTAGAAAGAGGGCGCAGCAGTCGCGTGCGTTGTGCACAGTGACATTCTTAGTCAACTTTTGGAAGTAATGACCGTATTCTGCGATTCCTAAGAGTAACGAATTGAGTTTTGAACTTTAGGAACTGATACCTGAATTATTTTACCTGCCGGAGATGTTACGAAATAACAATGGATTTGATTTGGGCCAAAGATCAGACGGAGCAAAGGTGAGCCTCATTTCATCTTTGAGGGTTTTGAAGTATCAGTGGGACGCTTACTTCCTCGACTAACTACTCTTCTCATATTCAATCAAGTGTAAGTCGGATATTGCTACCAAAAACTATTTCTTACTGCTTTACCATAGGTCTACAGTTTTGGGGGGTACAGTAATTTTTTCCACCGTAAAGTTCGAACTTCGTAACCCCCAAAAGTTGCTTAGATATTTTTTAAAACTTTGGTGTGTTTTTTCGAATCGCGTTTCTTTTTGAGCCCAAGATAGTCTGAAAGAGGACTTCTGTGAGATTGTCAGCCTTTTTTGACAGAACCTCTATAAACATACTAGATCTCTTCCTGGTACTCAAGTTTATCCAAAATTTCGAGAAAGTATAGTGGATTCTCAACCACTGCTTTGAATTTACTTACATATTGTTTGAGGGTTGTCTTTAAAAGGTACGATCGTCGAAGAGATAGAATTTTTGATTGCCTTTCGATCAGTAGTTTTATGAGTAAACTTATTATCATGTTTCGTTTCCTTTAGACCCCAGGTGGAATTTTCATTTTAACATTTTAATAAAGTTGTAATAGTGCAATGATAAAGTCTTCCCTAGCTGCCGCTTTTTTCTACTCTTTTTAGGATAATCACGATAATCTTTAAATGAATCTTCTATTAACATACATAGCTCTTCAGCTCCCACTACCTTGACATCACTCCTTTCTTTTCCAACGGATGATTCATAAATGTTTTCAAGATAAATGATGTCGTGCTACCAAAGTGGGCATCATCACCCGAGGAGTTCGTTCTACTCCATCGTCAAGCTCTCGAGAGTGACCTAGTCAGCTGTCAACTAAATCAATGGATTGATCTAATCTTCGGTTACAAACAGAAGGGTCCTGAAGCGGTGAGTATCCTAATTTGTTCAAAGACCTGTCCTCTGCTCTCAAAGTCCTCCGGACATACTTTGGATTAACTCCATTTACCATTTACCATTCAACATTTACCATTTAACCTTGGCTTTTTACTTCCTCTACAAAAAAACCTTGCGAGTGGCTGTCACACTTTTGCCCCTATCGCTCTTCAGATTAATTAACTATCTCTGACCGATATTTTTGAGCAATTTGAAATTTTAGGTCCGAGCAACAAATGTTTTCTACTACCTCACCTATGAAGGTGCTGTCTGCTTGAAGTCCATAGAAAGTGCCACTCAACTGGAGGCCATTCAACAACAAATTACGTCTTTTGGTCAAACGCCAGTCCAATTATTAGCAGAGGCGCACCCACCGCGTCATTCTGTGATGACCATGGTATGTTATGGTATACTTAATAGTAACCCACGTCTGACTTTTATATGTCGGATCTTTTTCGGTGGTTGCAAGATGAAATAATCAACAACCAATTTTAGGCTCCTCTGATGTTCCGTCGCTGTGAGGACGACTTGTGCATGCTGATGAAGTTCATCTCCAATAGTCCCGTCGTCTTTCTTGCTGCTAACACTTTCCATCAACTACCGCAACCTACCGTAGTCTCCGTCGCGCAGAATCTCGTTTTTGCTTTGAATCGATGGGATAATTCATACACATGTGAGCATTATTTTTCTAAAGTCTCCTTTCGCTATTCCTGTGGCTAGATTTTGATTTTTTTTTAAATTTTTTCAATGATTTAGTTGTTTATTTTACGCATAGATTTTTCTGATGTTCTTCTGACCGTGATCGTGAGGTTTATTAATCCTGCCTCCACGGGTGGAACTATTGGACCATTACCCTTCAGCGGTGGTGGATATTACGGGGTTTGGATTGAAATCATTCACATCGCGTGCTTCACGCTGGAAAACGTTTGAGTCAATAGGCTGCTATTTCGAATTTTTATAGGACCCCCATACCTACTAAACATATTTCATCCCTTAACAAGTCCTTCATTTCTGTTCGTATCTCCATGTCGTTCTTATCACAGGGTGGTTTTTAAACGTGTAAACCTGATGAGTGACAACCCATCATAATTGTTATCATTACCTTTTGCTGAACAGCTGAATTCTACGCTATCTCGCTTCGTTTCTTGAATATCGACTGTATTTCAGATGGAGCATCTACAAGAAGTGCACTATGCATAAGTGACAAGGCTGGCGAGGTTGATAACTCATCGGTGGGTTGACTTTCCTTTTAAACACTATCGCAGTTCCATATCTTTTTTTCTGACCACGTCACTTTTAGTATTTTTGCAGGAAAATTTTAAATTAGTTACTAGCTGCGTGTGGTTTAAACTCGGGGTAAATAATATGGAGGTCAGTATTCGATTGAAATTCGGAACAGCATGTGGAAGATTTTGGTCTTCAGTTCAGAGTGTCTGACTAACTTGTTCGGGTGACTTCTTTGCTTATTTTTATTCGCTTCCTTCTTCGGAGATCAATCTTTAGTTTCTGTTACCCTCTGTGCTTTCTAGTGGGTATTAGAAAAATAGAGGTGAAGCAGCTGATTTACCCAACTCATTATGGTAATCTATCTGTAGCTGTTGAGACCTTTTTAAACTTCATCTTTACTTTCCCCCTTACTCTGTCTGTCTGTTCCTTATTTGAAAATTTTGGAACGAAACGTCATTGGTTCTCGCGATTGTTCCAAAGAATTTATTCGATATATTGTGCTGCCGGGCATAATGACACGGTTGTATGAGCCATACAGGTTCTAGGGGAGGAACGCTAGCTCGGCTTGGAGGAATTGATGGTGTTTTAACACAGTTTGCCATTCAGAGTAAGAAATATTGTGACTTCGAATATTCACTTCTTCCAATATTCTGGTCTCCCATCCTGTAAATCTTTCATAGCCTGGGACGAAGTTAAGGGACGCTGCTAAATAGCGTTTTTATGTCAATTTTTGTTTACTTCCTTTTCTTATAGCTCGAAGCGCAAACATGTCTTTTGCGTCGATCAATTTTGGGTTTCGATCGACCATGCATTCAACTTCTATGCAGAGTCTTGTAGCATGCTTATAAAGGCTAGCACGAATTGCGTAGGCTAGTCGATGTACATATCACTGCTCCTATTTCTTCTTGACGGACCTCCCATTGCCTTTCTTATGTCGCAAAATGGACTTTTCTGTTGGCTTAGGTTACATTTATTCAGGGTTGGATTGGTGGACCACGCGCATTGTAGTGTTTTGACACCTCCTTCCCCTACCCCGGCCTTTTTGCAGCCAGTTGTTCCGGCTGGTTCATTTCGTTCGGACCCAAACTAGTTACTACCAGGTGCTACAGTGAATAATTACTGACATGACTATTGCAAAGATGGCTTCATTATCGATGCGTTAACATAGATTCGAGCTCTGAAAAAGATATGCTCTCTTTAACCCTGAACCTATGCCTTTTTCTACTTTTTTTGTTCTTCTATTATGGCTCACCTTTGGTTTAATGCTGATAACGGTTGAATATGTAAGCAACAAGTAAATGGCCTTTTTCAGAATGACTTACCATTGACAGTCGATCCGTTGCTGGCTTCGGGTAACCCGTCCATTCCTGTGGCTCGTCGCCATTTGGGAGATTCCCTGGACCATCGACTAACAGTTCGATGGAACAATTTTGTTGCAACAACCGACAGCAGATGCCTTATAGCTTGTGGCTATCCTGACTACAGTTTCCGAGTGATCGACACGGATGCTGGTGAGGGGATTTTCGACTTTTACATCTCTTGTACACGTATGTCGGAATTTAGCGCGTGTGCGACAAGTCATCTACGGTCACGGTGATGTTGTGACATGCATTGCACGATCTGAGACGAGCCTTTTTGCTGACTGTTATGTAGTGACTGGAAGTAATGACTGCACGGTCGCTTTATGGCATTGGAATGGGCAGGTAGGTGCCAAAATACCATCTTTATCGGCTCAAATTGCTGACTAATGCTGTCAAATTTTGCAAATTCTTTATTAACATTTGTTGGTCCTACTCAAATGGTGGGACCTCTTCTCATCTATAGACTCTGGGGGCCAGTCAAAAGAGAAAAGGATCGATATATCAGTCGAAATCCTCACCTCAGGATTCGAAAATTAGAATCTGAGCGAAGCCGAAACAGCTTTTTTGCAGTATTTTTTATTCTGAGAAAGATTTTTAGTACTTTTGACAGCATTAGTCAGCAATTTGAGCCGATAAACATGGTGACAGACTCTATGAATTGCGCAAGTATGTTTTTACCAGAAAACTTATATCTGCGTTTGATAGTCATCAATATGGCCTTTGTCGTCTGAATTATGTGGAGAAAGTTTTTGCAGACATTTCAATATCAAACAATTATTATTTACTTCTCAGACGATTCTTCGTTGTTTCAGCAAGGATTTATTGCCGGTGAATACAACACGCTAGGGGAGACACCATCACCCCGGGCCATCCTCACAGGTCATGAAGCAGCCATCTCTGCTCTAGCTGTCTCCGCGGAGCATGGACTCGTTCTAAGTGGTTGCGAAGGTAAGACTTTTAGCCCTCTATTACACCAATATGTTATGATATGCCCTTAGACTTGTTGCTTTTGTTGCTGTAATGGTCACGTAAAAGGTGTGTTTCAAAATAATCAGTTTTGAATTCGAATTCGAGTTCGGGATTACTATAACTCTTCAGCCTTTTTCTTTTCTTAGTGATTTTTGAGAAGTTCCTGTCCCATTTCTGAGTTCTTGAAAGTTTCCGTGTGAGGAATGATTGTTACCTTCGGACTTCGCCTACAGAAGCACAGAAATTTCCTTCACTAATGCTGTTGATTTTCTGAATCTCTCTCATCTAGATGGGACCATCTTAATGCACACGACGGCTGGTGAACTTCTTCGGCGATGGAGCAGTCGGCAACGTGTCTCGCAGTTGCTGATGAGTCGAGAGTGTGTTGTGATGGCTATTTACGGTCACCATAGCTTCGTCACGTTGACGACGACTGCGAACCAGCTCGACGAAGCCGTCGCCGATGACAAGTGCGTTGCTAAGGCTATTTTTTGATGTGTGAAAACTCATAAATAATACTTGTAGAGTGGAATGTGCCTGCTTAACAAGGGATGGCGAGTACGTGATCATAGGATCAGAGAGTGGCCGATGTACTGTTTGGCGATTATTCCCATTGCAAAAGCTGTATACCTTCCAGGTGGGGTTGAGTTCTACTGCTTTTTCATTGATCTTGAAAAGATTCTTTACCGTAAATGACTTCATGAGAGTCAGCGAAGTGTCTGTGATCTCTTTTATCTATTTTTTGCAACAAGAGTTTTTTTTTTCACTTCTTGATAGTTTAGCAAGTGGACAGTGCGATACGATCAGTGGCAGTGTCAGCGAATCATCGATTTGTTCTTGCCGGATTGGATTCTGGATCCATAGTCGTTTTTAACGTCGACTTTAATCGCTGGCATTACGAGTACAAGAATCGCTATCAAGCCCAGAAATGAGTCTTTCATAGACCAACAAGTCTGAGGTTTTGGTCGTGAGGGGTATGAATTCGGTCCGTAGCTCTGTCAGACACTTCCAGTCATCAGATTGGACTGAGTTCACCTATTTGGATGGGTTTCCGTTGTTGACATCTGTAAATCTGTCGATGTAAGTTGTGGTGATGTTAGCTTACTCATTCTGCTCACAATTTCCGCTTTCTTGTTTTGGATCGTCGATGGAATTTCCACTGTGTTTTTGAATGTTTCCATATTTCTTTCTCATTCAAATATTTATCCATGACGGGAAAAAACTGCGATAAATGTGCCCTAATCGTTGTATAACGTACGCATTGACCAAAAATGGATGGGCAAGTTCAGGATGACCGGGGATGCAGATGATCCCTTGTTTCTCTGTGTTCCTGAAGCAGCTAAACGCTATGATTTTGCTGCATATTATTATAAAGATTGTAATGTAACGCGAATTGTTTGTTTGTAATTGTTTGTGATTTTAGTATAGTCAAAGTAAGGTTGTGTCGGTATTTTACTTAAAAGTAGACTGAATTCATGTATGTGTGTATTTTGTGTGCAGTTCTGCGTATGTTAACATGTTTCAGTGAATACGAGATGGTTATAGAATGTAGCGATAATAACTTAATTTGCCTTATTTATTAATCTGTTATTTATGTTTTTGTTGACACATTGATTGATTGATTGATTGATTGAACAACTGTAATACTAGAAAATATATAAAGTTTTATATGCCCTGAAATACACAGTCGCTTGATTGGAAGTGATAAGGACGTCGGATATTCCTATATCTCGAATTCCTTTATTACTTTGAATGAAGTTTGAATCTGTGACGTATCGGTCTCAGGTACACATGGGAACATATCATACCATGGCCCAGATGAGGTTACGGTGGAGGCGCCTTTGCTGCGTATACGGACTGTGATTTAGATTCTCTAATTACTCCGATGTTGGAACATCATGGCGTAGTCACTACTTCCGTGCAGAGTTCTTCTGAAACTTCAGGTGAGGCTTCCTTTCTGCAAGGCATAACAAATGTTATTCACTCCAAGTTGTATCTAAAAGTGGTTTGTTGTTCAGACACGGGAATACTCTAATGAGAAAACATTTCCTAGTGTATGGCAAGTGGTCATATTTGTTTCCGCTCACTAAATTTGTGCTGTTGTGAGAAGAGAATCGGTCATGCTTGCTCATAAGAACGTCTCGTCGTTGTAGGACCGTCTTTTCGGACCGTAATTCGGAGATTCTCTCTTTTGGGATGATGTTTCCAACAAAATGTTTCGCCCTTTTGAATAATTTTAGGTGATATCGCAATTTAAATTTCTACGGCAGTTCATAGAATGACCAGCTTTTTATTCATTTGGGCTTGAAAATCATTAATCTTTCTGACAATCACTTCACCACTTCTATCCAGTTTCAGTTGGATACATGAGTTTCGGTTTATTTGATTTCCTCCTTGAGATACTGTTTTGGAGATGCGTATGAGTATAGACTTTTAGGTAGCACTCACGAGGTGTCGTGTACCAGGGTTTTATTTCAAGCAGGAGCTCGTGTCAATTGTTTCTTTCGCTTTCTCTGCACATTTATCGTTTCTTGGAAGGATAGGAGGCCACTGTTAATGAGAATGTGGAACTTCGCGGTTATGTATTTTTCTTATTTGACTTTAGGCTGCTCGGGAAATAGCTTGAGTTGGTGCCCGGTGCATCCTCTGCGTGAACTCGCCTTCAACCAGCTGAAACGTGTCTAACAATTAGGTAAGGGCTTCACTACGTGAATTTATCTGACTTTTGTTAGTACCTATTCTTTACCCATTACATAAGCTTGACCAGGATTCTCACATTTGCACCATGGTAGCACACATCAATTCCCTCGTCGTGAGAGCTAGTTTATTTATTTATTTATGCGTTCCATGACGCGCTGTATTGGGAAATATGGCTGTTCGTGGAAAACAATCATACAGCATAAAAGAAAGAAAAG